TACATTACAAATATTCATGCATCATATACTGCAGAGCTTAACACAATACGCTCTGGCACCCACCCTGAATTCTTCTACACTATAGCCATAATCAATAATGGCTGATCACACCACAGGGGCAAAAAAAAAATTATATTTCATATTTCTGTCAAATTCAAAAATGATTTTAGGGAGCTGCTCAGTAATACTACCATAAATTAGCCAAAATACTTTAACAATATTTACCAAAATAGGTTAATTAAAATGTACTTGTCCACTGTTATTTTCCAAAATGGTTATACTATATGAATTTTGAAAGCTTTTTCAAACATTGTGCTTTTATTACCTTATTAAATTCCCATTTGCACAGCCACCACATTTTTGTTCTATTCAGGGATTTCTTATAATCAGCCCACAGCATCCATTCACAAGACACTGTCAGAATGAGAAGTGGAAATTTCCACTAGCAGCCACAGCCTTGAGTTTTGCACATCTGAAACTTAATATGCCAAAGCGCAGCAACACCAGGGCCACCACAGAAGCACAGCAAGAGGCACTGTGTTGGCCCATATTCATATGATACTGAACACACCAAACTTCAAGAATTTTATTGTTGAGCAAATGCCACTCACATATCTAATCCATCCATCAAAACATAAATTGTCCAAATTGTTATGTTTGGCTAGTTAAATGATCCTTTTAGCCAGAGAGGAGGCCAACCAGATCAGCCAAAAACCATACAACATGCAGGTCTAGGACACAGCTGTCAGTGACCTCACACTGATGAAAACTTGGAAAAACTCCTTTCTCTGTTTAAACTGTGAGACAATGGAGAGTTGGATTATGTTTCTTCCACCGACAAACAAAGATGATGATATTAATGATCATGAACCCCATTACTTATTAAAGTAGCTAACAGTATTTCCACTTTCTCTATGCATTACAAAGAACCTACTTTTACAAAATTGGGTGAAGTTATACTGTAAGTAGTTTGCAGTGACTGTAACTCCAGTTACAGAAATGTTGGAGTGAAGCTGAGAAGGTCAAGCTTGTTTTGGCTGCTAATAGAATTCCAGTCATTGGATTTAGATTTAATATTACTCCACATATTGTCCAAAGCATGCATCAAACCTAAGAGGCATGTTATCATGATTTAACCACAAAATGTATTCATTTTCAAGATTCCTTTTCAATGCAACAAACGCTCAGTGTTGTGCTCTTTGATTACAGAAGGCACTGGTTGTAGTCTATATCATACTAATGAATGGTGACAAATTCATGCAGTCATAAAATACAGCACAGTACAGGGCCCTGATTAACTCTAATCTAACCCTGTAAACTGGTTAAAATCAAATTAGACTAGGGTCTACACACCTATGTTATTACGGTGCTGCCAGTAGCTGACCACTTAACAGACAGTTAGGGTTAAGACCGTTTGCAGCTACCTCTTATAAAAGTTTATAATCTCAAATACAATGAAATAAAGTGACTGCTTTAGAAGAATCAATAATTCAGAAATACTAATAAAAAGCCATCACAATTTTCCTGAACTTTAATAATTGCTTACTTAATTTGACCAAACTGAAGCTACTCTTCACTTATGAGTATGTTAAGACATACTATTGAACTAAAAACTTAACATTTTGTATATCTGAAGTTATTCATTACCCTAAGTACCTGTGTTTTTGTGCCAAGCATCCCTGATAGAACGGTGTCTGACCAGGAGATGTTAATAGATGTCCAAATTGTTTACTTCCAACAGCTCACTAAAAGATTCAAAAGATATGAACAGAGTGGCACCAAATGCTAAAAGAAAATAATAAACAACAATAAATAAGGCAAACTTCTTAAATTTATGACATGATTGGGAAAGAAGACTGTTTCAAATATCAACTAAATTCATCTAAACAAAACCGAAATTAAACTATGTTCTGACCTTTTCTGTGTTTGCTCTTTCACTCTCTCTCTCCCTCCCTTTCAAGCCCATCGTTCCTCACTGGTCAGTGACAGTAACACAACCTGACACAAACAACAAAAACTGACGCACACAGCTGTCTCATACTCTTGTCTCCTTGTATCCGGTGCCACATTTTTTCTGGATTTTTTTTCAGTACTCCATGTCACTTCATTAACTCCTATCACTTAACGCTCAAGCCTTTACTTTCTTTTCTATTTTTGTGGACTGATTGTTGACTTTTGTTTAATTAGCAGCTGCACATGTGCTTCTTTAAATCAAGAGTGTTGAGTTACTTCATATGAAAATACTGAACTATTCCCAACAGTAATCATGAGCAAGGTGTTAGTCCAATTCTAACCATCTGTTCACAGTAACCTACTTTAGAGAAACACGACCCTTGGTTTGCACAGTGCAGGGTCACAGTCGCTATAAATAAAACCTGCAGTCGTGTGAAGTTAAGTAGGTCCATGTGAAACCTGAACCCAATACAAGTCATAGCAGTACTTAGGGTTATCTGCTACTGACCAGCAAAACAAAACAAGAACTACAATATTCTATCATCTATTTTTTAATTGCAGAAAATGTTAACATCTGTGTGGGTGAATGTAGAAAGTTACAGACTCCACTCATTCCCTTATCTGTTCAGGACTGGCTTGCTATTTATAGGTAGGTGAACTATTTTACTAATGATGTCATTTAAGTTTACCTTGTACTGAAAATTGAGAATGTTACCTGGATTAACCTCCAGAGAAGTAACATTACACTTGTGCAAATTCTAAATGATTTACTAGTAGTTGTAGTTGACATATTTTTAGCTGAGTGAGGAAGTTGATAGATTCCATCATAAGTGGCGGTCAGATGATCAGACTGTTTTGGAAATGCTTTCATCACCACATCATTCTAACAGGAAGTCAAGGGGGGTGTGTCTGACTTGATGCTGTAATTTTCCAAAACTTACAAACTGACATTTACACCCACTTCACACTGAGACTGGTAAGCTAGTATACCGAGTTTGAACTTCTCTCTCTAGCTCTCTTTTTCATTTGTGACACAACTACTGTGGCTTTATCCAGCTGTACTACCAAGTGCAACACCATGAATGTCTTCCAGGAAGGACTGTCTGAAAATATGCCCCATTTTTAAATATGCCCAGTTTTTCCACTCGAGAAAAGACTAAGTATACCAACTGATCTGTCTCTATTTGACCAATAATTAGTACAGAATTATGTGGTTATTTCAGGGAGATATTCTGAAGGCTCCTGATAAAACCTTTATGTACAGGATGTAATTGTTACATCTAACAGACGCCACATAAAGTTTGTACAATTCTAGCTTTTTCTGCAGCGCAGTCCACTGTGCACCACAAACATCCTTTCAACATAATACAGGGCAGTTTTATTTATAGAGCTCAACATCACAAGTCTGTACAACATATGAAACCTTCTGATAAATGAAGGCTCAAATATATACATTTTTTTTCAAAAGTGTGGTTTATTATATTCTTTCCATGAACAGCAAAAGGATTAAAGTGGTTTGGCGAGTTTGTGAATTATCTTTGATTCTTTGACAGCTACCACAGTGTTCTACCACCATCAGGACCACAGTACTACTTGCATCACTAACACTAGCCTACTAATACATTTTTCTCTCCATCCTAGATACAGAATCTGTTCATGTGTATGGGACTATCACTGGTATCACCCTTAGAGGTCAAGAAAGATCCAGCAAACGTGAACTTTTGCCACATGCACCTGCTAGCTAGTCACACAACGTCAATTCAACACAATGACAGAGAAATGCTAAAAGAACACTGCTTGGTATTTTTTTCTAAATGATAAATATAATGGTGAGTTTTGACATGCTTTGTTAACCTTTTGATACCACTACCACAAAAAACTGCACCAGCAATCATTTTTGCACAGACTAGTGTACAGAGCTGTGAATTGCGTTGCTTTGTGAGGTCAGTGCAAGTGAAGTTGAACTTTTGCTCCACAACACAGCCAGCCAACAAACTCATTTCAACACTATCAACAATCACAAAGCAGAAGTTAGACTCAGAGGGCTTTACAGTTTGCTCAACTCATGATTATGACATCATCTATCCATCTGCCCTTAAATGGCAGAACAAGGCTAACAAGTATGTTGGTCAATAAAGTGATTTTCTGACTATAGATGCTATTAAGATGAATCATTTGAAGGAGGTCATTGTACATAATCTCTGGTTACTTGACACTCAATTGCCTCCACAGTAAACAGTCACTATAGACAAAATATGAACTTGATTCTGCCATCATCAAGGCTACGACTTGCATGTATCCTATGAAAATAGCATCAGCTCAATCCGATATAGATTTATTTTACATAAAGTTGATGAACATATAACTTGAACATACGCACTGCTGCCAGCATTAGCATACCTCATGCTTGGAAACAGAAGAGCTCTTTCCC